CCTAGTTACTCAAAGAAGAAACTATTAAACATCTATTTTTAATTTTCAAAATGTTAAATACTTAAAGATTTCATTTCATAGCTTCTATTATTTCCTTCTTAAGAAAACCCTTGGTATTTTGAACATCTTTTTTTTTTTTTTTCTATAGGAGTTTGTCATTTATCTTCAATAAGGCGACATCTTTTTATCGAAAAGAATGGAATCTCCCTCGTTTTTTGTTGAATTCTCAAATCCCTGAAATTTTGTGATGGATGTAAGTCATCCTTTTAAAGAGCACAACTTTTATACATATGAGCATGGTTCAGCTGTGGGCTTTGCCGTTGTTTGCATTTATCACAGTCCTGATTGTATTTACAGATAATTGCATGCATATATATGATGATTATTTACTTGTTACCTAAGTATTTTAGGAATATTAGAAAGACATGATTTGCGATTGTAATTTATCAACCGAGATATGTTAATGCATCTCTTGCTTTGATTTTTAGGAGAGATCCATATATGATGAATCTTTGAATATTTGCAGTGAACTAAATGACACTGTTATTGAGGCACAACTAAGGACAAGACAAGTTCCACCTCAACTTCCAACCAAGACTGCAATTCAAAGTTATCAGCAATCAACTAATCGATTGCTCATATTGGTATGATGTCTCAATGAAGCTTGAGACTTCTCTCAATACAGTCTTTTTTGTTTCCTTCCTGTCTTTTTCTCCTAATGAGTGTTTTCTATAAGATAGTGCTTCATTTGCCGAGTAGATGCAGTGAAATCTATTGTGCAACTGTACTAGATTAGGATATTTTGATAGGTAAAGATCCCAATCACAGGTTTATGCAAGGTATAGTAAGAAGGGTCCAGAGGATAAGAAAATTTCTGGAACTCTTGAAACTTCAGTGAAATGTACCTTCCTCCTTTCAATCACTTATGAATGAAGTGCTTAAACCATATTTGGGAAAGTGTGTGTGTGCTTGTCTCTCTGAAAATTTTCTAGTATACAGGGATTTAGAGACTTTTGTTTATCCGTTGAAAGTTTTGCGGGTGCTAACAGCAAATGATCTGAAGGTGAGGAAGAAATGCACATTTGGAAGCCAAAACTAGAACTGGGGGTCTTCTATGAAACATTCAGCTACAAGCTTTGATTTTATTGAAAATAAGTAGTGGAACTTACCTGAATATGCAAGTCATTGCATAACTCCATTTTGAGAATGGCATCTTAAGTATGCAAGTCTGAAAAATAGGATTTATTTATAGGTAAATTTGGCAGGAAATCATTGTTAAGGACTATGAAATCTAACATAACTGAGTTCCTCATTCTTAAAGTTTTTGTTGGGAAAGGGAATCCTATTAGGATCCCTGCTATTAGACTTCTCTTATAGCTTGCTCTTTTGTTGGATGGTTAAAATGATGGGGCTGCCAAGGACTCTTTGGGCACTGTTGCTCATGGTGGTATATCTAGGGACAAAAGAGCGCCATTTATGGTTAGTTTTTCACAATTCCTTGGGGTGCAAGATGCCATGTATGCATATGGGTGCTATTTTGATAATTTAGATTGCTTTCACAATAAGATGCTTAGTGTTCCAGTATGCTCTAATATTGCTTAGAAGTTGAGACTAAGTAAATTAAATACACCTTTTTCCGTTAACCTTCTAAACAATTTTTAAGGACAAAACTTTGATAGAACTACGAACTCCAAAACAGACAATACCTCTGATCCAATGAACTTGAGGTTGGAACAATTAGGCCTTAGTTGGATTGTGATTCTCAATTAGTTGTCCAGGCTCTTAAAATTCAACTATAGTTCCTTGGAGATTGCCTTATAGAGATGGCTTAATTGCAAGGAGAAGACTAAAGACAAGGAGATTTGTATCACTTATATCTTTAGGAAAGGGAACTATTATGTGGATAAGTAAGCCAATTTTGGTATTAGTACACAGTTCTATACATGGTGCTATAATAACTATTTTTTGTAAATTTTTATTTTTCCAAACATAGATGTGAACTTCCTTGTTACAGGTTTCTTTGTGGGTTTTGGTCTAAAATCTCCACTTGGTTTTGTGCTCCTCTATTTTATGGACTAGAGTGCGGCAGAAGATTGTTGCTAATTGTTGGATGACAATTAACATTGTGATGCCATACCACTACCATTTTATTGAAAAAAAAAACAAAACTTTTGTCCAATTTAACTTCTTATTTTAAAAAATTGGGACAGTAAATATCATTCTTGACCTCGAACAGTCATGATAGGACTCTCCTAGAGTCGTAGAGGAAAATGAATTCAAATTTTGCTACTAATTTCAGCAAAATTTTCCCTGAACCAACTATCCAAAATGGTTGAGCAATTAGGTTAGATGAAAGTGTTGGGAACAAGGGAATAAAGGAGAGAAGAGAGAAATAAACAACATTAAAAAGTATTTGTTTTGGTGCGTTTGTAAACCTTACATAAGCTTTCTTATATAGCAAAGTGAAGAACACCATCTCACAATACTAAGCAATATGGAACTAAAAACACACTACAAAAACTTAATCAAACTACAAAAAAACTAACAGAAAGCTCGTGAGTAGTTTATACCTAACAAACATGATGTACGTGTGTGTTTGAGTTTGCAACCTCTAAAGCAAAATCATGATCATAAAAAATCTGGATGCTTTTTGTTATACAGTGTTACACTGGTATGAATCCTAACCAGCATTGGTTTACGTATATGAATTTTTGTATTAACATTTTCTCTCAACACTGGTGATACACACTGCAGGGATTCAGTGGAACTTTAACTGAACCAGTCGAGAAAACAGGTGATCAGATTAAGGAAATGGAACTTAAGGTGCATCCAAAACTGAGACAACCCTTGACAGCACTATGCAGTGATCCAAATACCACAGTTGTTGTGCTCAGTGGAAGTGGTAGAAAAGTCCTGGATGATGTAATTCTTGGCACAATGCTTCTTTTCGTTGTGAAATATTATGAGTCCACTTTTAACATATTTCCTATAACAGAACTTCAAAGAATATGACATGTGGTTGGCGGCTGAGAATGGAATGTTTTTACATCCTTCAAAGGGTGAGTGGATGACGACAATGCCAGAGCATCTGAATATGGAATGGCTTGATAGTGTGAAGGTACTCTCAGTTTGATGTTTCAATTCATTTGATGTTTAATGTTCTCTCTTAGAAACGACATCTCTTATCTCAATAACACTAAAGATAGGGATATGAAATGAATGGAATTAGTTTATGGATGTAATATAATGAAATAGAGCCAGTTTGAGGTTACTGACGTTACTGGTCCTGCATTGCAGCATGTTTTTGAGTATTTCACAGAAAGAACACCTCGGTCACATTTTGATTATGAAGAAAGAGAAACTTCACTTGTATGGAATTACAAATATGCAGGTGCTAAAATGTTTTAAAGAAGATTTTTCCTTTTCCAGCTTCCTTTTTGGTTACTTATCTTGTGATCTCAACCAGATGTTGAGTTTGGAAAGCTTCAAGCAAGGGACATGCTGCAGCATCTCTGGACAGGTCCAATTTCTAATGCATCAGTTGAAGTTGTTCAAGGGAGCCGATCTGTTGAGGTGCGAGCTGTTGGTGTTACGAAGGTGACCTCTTGTTTCCAATAACTGACCTCTGAGTAATATTCCCTATTTGCAATTTTTCATACGTATTTAAATGTCTACTCTAAATTCCTTTCCTGATCAGGGAGCAGCCATTGACCGCATCTTGGGTGAGATAGTGCACAGTAAATCAATGACATCACCAATTGATTATGTTCTTTGCATAGGACATTTTCTGGGGAAGGTAAATTGAACTTTCTGTAGCACCATTAGACATTTCCTCAAAAAGAAATACTAGTATAACACACTTTATAGTAGACTATTAATTGTAAGTTTTTGTTGGTCTAAACTTATTTACTGAAATATCTTTTCTAATTCTATAGGTTTCAATAAATTTTAACCTACAATATAATTGATGTTAGAGAGTGTGTTGCTAACACCACAACTCTCAGCAACTCCCTCTTGTTTCATTCTTTGCAATTAATTGTAAGGATGTTGTACAGTTGATTATTATTTTAATGGGTATGACTAATCAATGTCTTATAAAAGCATTAGTTTAGAAATCCCAAACAGAAAGCTTTAAAGCACTACTAGTTAGTATTTACCCATTTTAATTGCAAGAATTTTTCATCTCCTTTAACTATATATAGTTGAATACTTCGGAGCTACAAATTTGACATTATTAATTTTAACAGGACGAAGATATTTATTCATTTTTTGAGCCAGATCTTCCTTCTATTGGTGTGGGCCTTCCGCGAAGCAAGGTAACATCAGATGGAGTTAAGTTTCCTGTTGAGAGGAAACCGTGTTTGAAGGAACCACCAACTAAGAGCGGACCAAAGTCATCTCAAAATAAGGCAACACGACCAGTGTCAAATTCTGAGAAGAAATCAAACAATCATATCTCCATTACACCACGAAGGGCAGCACCTGAAAAGGTTTCATGGAACGTCCTCGACCTTAAGAAAGAGAATTACTTCTCTTGTTCCATTGGACGAACTCGAACAAATGCTCGGTATACGCTTGATTCATCCGACGATGTTGTTTCATTTCTGAAGGAACTAGCTAATGCTTCTATCCGAACGTAGAAGTGAGTCAAAATACTGCACCTTGGCACAGGGAGGATTCTGCAGAGTCCAATTCAGTGCGATCACTCTTCCACGCATTCACACATTCAGTGTATTTATAACTGTTGCGTGAAAATCAGACTGTTTATCTCATACGTGTTTTACATCAGTCTGCTTATAAAATATTAGTCATCAGAACTTCATCCCACAGTTCCTAGTTGTTGAATGAATGAATGCGTGTAAAGAAAGAATCCGAATTCGGTACATCCTTCACTTCACTCCCATTCCCAAAGACTACTAATATCTACTGGAAACGAGAATAAAGTCATAAAAAACAGAAATACACATGGAANAAAGAGCACAACTTTTATACATATGAGCATGGTTCAGCTGTGGGCTTTGCCGTTGTTTGCATTTATCACAGTCCTGATTGTATTTACAGATAATTGCATGCATATATATGATGATTATTTACTTGTTACCTAAGTATTTTAGGAATATTAGAAAGACATGATTTGCGATTGTAATTTATCAACCGAGATATGTTAATGCATCTCTTGCTTTGATTTTTAGGAGAGATCCATATATGATGAATCTTTGAATATTTGCAGTGAACTAAATGACACTGTTATTGAGGCACAACTAAGGACAAGACAAGTTCCACCTCAACTTCCAACCAAGACTGCAATTCAAAGTTATCAGCAATCAACTAATCGATTGCTCATATTGGTATGATGTCTCAATGAAGCTTGAGACTTCTCTCAATACAGTCTTTTTTGTTTCCTTCCTGTCTTTTTCTCCTAATGAGTGTTTTCTATAAGATAGTGCTTCATTTGCCGAGTAGATGCAGTGAAATCTATTGTGCAACTGTACTAGATTAGGATATTTTGATAGGTAAAGATCCCAATCACAGGTTTATGCAAGGTATAGTAAGAAGGGTCCAGAGGATAAGAAAATTTCTGGAACTCTTGAAACTTCAGTGAAATGTACCTTCCTCCTTTCAATCACTTATGAATGAAGTGCTTAAACCATATTTGGGAAAGTGTGTGTGTGCTTGTCTCTCTGAAAATTTTCTAGTATACAGGGATTTAGAGACTTTTGTTTATCCGTTGAAAGTTTTGCGGGTGCTAACAGCAAATGATCTGAAGGTGAGGAAGAAATGCACATTTGGAAGCCAAAACTAGAACTGGGGGTCTTCTATGAAACATTCAGCTACAAGCTTTGATTTTATTGAAAATAAGTAGTGGAACTTACCTGAATATGCAAGTCATTGCATAACTCCATTTTGAGAATGGCATCTTAAGTATGCAAGTCTGAAAAATAGGATTTATTTATAGGTAAATTTGGCAGGAAATCATTGTTAAGGACTATGAAATCTAACATAACTGAGTTCCTCATTCTTAAAGTTTTTGTTGGGAAAGGGAATCCTATTAGGATCCCTGCTATTAGACTTCTCTTATAGCTTGCTCTTTTGTTGGATGGTTAAAATGATGGGGCTGCCAAGGACTCTTTGGGCACTGTTGCTCATGGTGGTATATCTAGGGACAAAAGAGCGCCATTTATGGTTAGTTTTTCACAATTCCTTGGGGTGCAAGATGCCATGTATGCATATGGGTGCTATTTTGATAATTTAGATTGCTTTCACAATAAGATGCTTAGTGTTCCAGTATGCTCTAATATTGCTTAGAAGTTGAGACTAAGTAAATTAAATACACCTTTTTCCGTTAACCTTCTAAACAATTTTTAAGGACAAAACTTTGATAGAACTACGAACTCCAAAACAGACAATACCTCTGATCCAATGAACTTGAGGTTGGAACAATTAGGCCTTAGTTGGATTGTGATTCTCAATTAGTTGTCCAGGCTCTTAAAATTCAACTATAGTTCCTTGGAGATTGCCTTATAGAGATGGCTTAATTGCAAGGAGAAGACTAAAGACAAGGAGATTTGTATCACTTATATCTTTAGGAAAGGGAACTATTATGTGGATAAGTAAGCCAATTTTGGTATTAGTACACAGTTCTATACATGGTGCTATAATAACTATTTTTTGTAAATTTTTATTTTTCCAAACATAGATGTGAACTTCCTTGTTACAGGTTTCTTTGTGGGTTTTGGTCTAAAATCTCCACTTGGTTTTGTGCTCCTCTATTTTATGGACTAGAGTGCGGCAGAAGATTGTTGCTAATTGTTGGATGACAATTAACATTGTGATGCCATACCACTACCATTTTATTGAAAAAAAAAACAAAACTTTTGTCCAATTTAACTTCTTATTTTAAAAAATTGGGACAGTAAATATCATTCTTGACCTCGAACAGTCATGATAGGACTCTCCTAGAGTCGTAGAGGAAAATGAATTCAAATTTTGCTACTAATTTCAGCAAAATTTTCCCTGAACCAACTATCCAAAATGGTTGAGCAATTAGGTTAGATGAAAGTGTTGGGAACAAGGGAATAAAGGAGAGAAGAGAGAAATAAACAACATTAAAAAGTATTTGTTTTGGTGCGTTTGTAAACCTTACATAAGCTTTCTTATATAGCAAAGTGAAGAACACCATCTCACAATACTAAGCAATATGGAACTAAAAACACACTACAAAAACTTAATCAAACTACAAAAAAACTAACAGAAAGCTCGTGAGTAGTTTATACCTAACAAACATGATGTACGTGTGTGTTTGAGTTTGCAACCTCTAAAGCAAAATCATGATCATAAAAAATCTGGATGCTTTTTGTTATACAGTGTTACACTGGTATGAATCCTAACCAGCATTGGTTTACGTATATGAATTTTTGTATTAACATTTTCTCTCAACACTGGTGATACACACTGCAGGGATTCAGTGGAACTTTAACTGAACCAGTCGAGAAAACAGGTGATCAGATTAAGGAAATGGAACTTAAGGTGCATCCAAAACTGAGACAACCCTTGACAGCACTATGCAGTGATCCAAATACCACAGTTGTTGTGCTCAGTGGAAGTGGTAGAAAAGTCCTGGATGATGTAATTCTTGGCACAATGCTTCTTTTCGTTGTGAAATATTATGAGTCCACTTTTAACATATTTCCTATAACAGAACTTCAAAGAATATGACATGTGGTTGGCGGCTGAGAATGGAATGTTTTTACATCCTTCAAAGGGTGAGTGGATGACGACAATGCCAGAGCATCTGAATATGGAATGGCTTGATAGTGTGAAGGTACTCTCAGTTTGATGTTTCAATTCATTTGATGTTTAATGTTCTCTCTTAGAAACGACATCTCTTATCTCAATAACACTAAAGATAGGGATATGAAATGAATGGAATTAGTTTATGGATGTAATATAATGAAATAGAGCCAGTTTGAGGTTACTGACGTTACTGGTCCTGCATTGCAGCATGTTTTTGAGTATTTCACAGAAAGAACACCTCGGTCACATTTTGATTATGAAGAAAGAGAAACTTCACTTGTATGGAATTACAAATATGCAGGTGCTAAAATGTTTTAAAGAAGATTTTTCCTTTTCCAGCTTCCTTTTTGGTTACTTATCTTGTGATCTCAACCAGATGTTGAGTTTGGAAAGCTTCAAGCAAGGGACATGCTGCAGCATCTCTGGACAGGTCCAATTTCTAATGCATCAGTTGAAGTTGTTCAAGGGAGCCGATCTGTTGAGGTGCGAGCTGTTGGTGTTACGAAGGTGACCTCTTGTTTCCAATAACTGACCTCTGAGTAATATTCCCTATTTGCAATTTTTCATACGTATTTAAATGTCTACTCTAAATTCCTTTCCTGATCAGGGAGCAGCCATTGACCGCATCTTGGGTGAGATAGTGCACAGTAAATCAATGACATCACCAATTGATTATGTTCTTTGCATAGGACATTTTCTGGGGAAGGTAAATTGAACTTTCTGTAGCACCATTAGACATTTCCTCAAAAAGAAATACTAGTATAACACACTTTATAGTAGACTATTAATTGTAAGTTTTTGTTGGTCTAAACTTATTTACTGAAATATCTTTTCTAATTCTATAGGTTTCAATAAATTTTAACCTACAATATAATTGATGTTAGAGAGTGTGTTGCTAACACCACAACTCTCAGCAACTCCCTCTTGTTTCATTCTTTGCAATTAATTGTAAGGATGTTGTACAGTTGATTATTATTTTAATGGGTATGACTAATCAATGTCTTATAAAAGCATTAGTTTAGAAATCCCAAACAGAAAGCTTTAAAGCACTACTAGTTAGTATTTACCCATTTTAATTGCAAGAATTTTTCATCTCCTTTAACTATATATAGTTGAATACTTCGGAGCTACAAATTTGACATTATTAATTTTAACAGGACGAAGATATTTATTCATTTTTTGAGCCAGATCTTCCTTCTATTGGTGTGGGCCTTCCGCGAAGCAAGGTAACATCAGATGGAGTTAAGTTTCCTGTTGAGAGGAAACCGTGTTTGAAGGAACCACCAACTAAGAGCGGACCAAAGTCATCTCAAAATAAGGCAACACGACCAGTGTCAAATTCTGAGAAGAAATCAAACAATCATATCTCCATTACACCACGAAGGGCAGCACCTGAAAAGGTTTCATGGAACGTCCTCGACCTTAAGAAAGAGAATTACTTCTCTTGTTCCATTGGACGAACTCGAACAAATGCTCGGTATACGCTTGATTCATCCGACGATGTTGTTTCATTTCTGAAGGAACTAGCTAATGCTTCTATCCGAACGTAGAAGTGAGTCAAAATACTGCACCTTGGCACAGGGAGGATTCTGCAGAGTCCAATTCAGTGCGATCACTCTTCCACGCATTCACACATTCAGTGTATTTATAACTGTTGCGTGAAAATCAGACTGTTTATCTCATACGTGTTTTACATCAGTCTGCTTATAAAATATTAGTCATCAGAACTTCATCCCACAGTTCCTAGTTGTTGAATGAATGAATGCGTGTAAAGAAAGAATCCGAATTCGGTACATCCTTCACTTCACTCCCATTCCCAAAGACTACTAATATCTACTGGAAACGAGAATAAAGTCATAAAAAACAGAAATACACATGGAAGATTGGATAGATTTTTAGACGATAATTTATGTTTTCTCGAGAGTTTGGAACATTTTAAGAGGTAGAAAATATAAAAAGAAATATCATACATATACACTTGGACATGAGTCAGATATTTAATGAGATGATTGATTCTTATTTGATCAATTCATTTTTATTTGAAAATTGAATGAATAATAATTATATAACAACCAATAAAAAGTTTGTGAATGAACCGGAAAATCAATGTTTCTTAAATTGTTTTTATTCTCATTTTATTAGAACTGCCTCCAACAAATTCTCTTTTTTTTTTCTAATTTTTACTTTTTACAAACACTGTTCTAAATTTAGTTTACTAAGATTATCAAATTCATTAGGAGACCATTTTGGATTGACTAATCCATTTATGTTCAAAATTTTGTTAACAATTTTATGCAATAGACAATCTAAGATTGACAATTTGCTCTGACATGAAATCAAACGGTATAGTTTGGTATTATATGATCTATTCTTATAATGTCCTAAGTTGAGGAAGAGAACAAAACTCAAAAGAAAGAGGCTAATGGTTGTAAGAAGATACAAACTTTGAATCAAACTCACGAGCAAATGAATAACCAACTTGTGTTTAAAGACAAACTCAAATTAAGAGGTATTTTTTAGGTTTAATCATTCCACTAATCCTTTTTTTTTATATTGTATATTGTATTCAAACTCACTATATATATACTGCTTAGAAAAGAAAGAAATAATAGAGAGTCTGTTTTTATTTGATAATGAAATTTGACTTATATAAGTCTTACAATGAAACTGCAAAACTTAAAGTGGGCATACTGCACAACAGTAACCAACACTTCTAAAAACTCGATATCAAAGACTGGTTCACCTAATTTTACTAACACGTAATTAAATAGCAAATTTAAACTTAATATTAGCATTCCCTCTTGTAAGCTATAGTTATATTTAGCTTATTTCAGTGATTTCTACAACCTGCATGTGTCAGATTCTTTCAAATTGATCAAGCTTTAATGTCTTACTCATTATATCTGCTACTTGCTTCTTAGAGGAACAATAAATTAAGCGAACTATGTGGTCATGTACTAAGTCTCTAAGAAAGTGAAATCTCACTGCAATATGCTTACTTCATCCACGAAAGACAAGATTGTTGGATAATTGAATGGTGGAATTGTTGTCACATAAGATTTATGTTGCTTCTTTTTCTTTTGACCTAAGATGCTCTAAGATTCATCGAATCCAAATCCATTTACAAGCACAAAATGTTGCAACAATGTATTCAGCCTCGGTTGTAGATAAACTTACCATAGGCTATTTTTTTATGCCAATGAGACAACCCCATTTCTGATAAAAAATATTTAGTCGGAAGTACTTCTTCTATCATCTAAGTCTCCAGCATAGTTGGTGTCACTATAAGCTGTCAAACCAGTCTCCTTTTCTTTTTTATAAAATATGCCATATTTAATGGTACCTTTTACATATCGTAGCAGCCTTTTTACTACAGCCTAATGTGATTCCTTTGGGTTTGCCATGTAACGACTGATTAAGCTTACTCCAAACATTAAATCTGGCCGAGTAACTGTTAAATACATGAGGCTTCCGATTGCTTGTTGGAATTTTATGGCATCCACTATAGTACCTTGATCATCTTTGGACAATATTGTACCTGATACGATGGGGTTTCATACAAGGTTACTTTTGGTCATGTTGAATCGTTCTAACACATCACGAGCATATTGTCTTTGACAAATAAGAATTATTGTATTACTTTGTATAACTTCAATGTCAAGGAAATATCTCATTTTACCCAAATCAGTTATATCAAACTCCCTCTTCATTGAGCTTTTGAATTCATCACCCAAACATTTACTATTTCTAGTGAAGATCAGATCATCAACATAAAGACTGATAATGAGAATAGGACCTTTAATTCTTCTCTTGAAGAGGGTGTGTTCACTAAAGCATCTTTCAAATTTCTCTTTTACATCAAGCTGAAACACATCCCATGTATTTTGAGCAGCCAAAGCTAGTAGTATTCTCACAATGTCAAGTTTAGAACCTAAAGCAAATACTTTTTTATAATCAACTTCATACCTTTGAGCATAACCTTTGGCCACTAGTCCGACCTTGTACTTTTCAACGTGACCATTTTCATTGAATTTGGTCTTGAAAATCCATTTAACACCAATAGTTGTGACGCCTTCTGGAGGATCTACTAGTTCCCACATATGATTCTTTTCAATTGCTTTCATTTTTGCATTCACAGCTTCCCTCCATTGTAGACTTTTACAAGCCTCTTCATAGGATTGAGGATCTTTAGAGTCTGTAATCATCATTGCTAGTAAATTTGCTTCATCTACCGAGAGATGAGTTTCGTGATCAGACATACATACAGGTTGCCTTCATGTTCTTGTGGTTCTTCCTTCAATTTGTTAGCAAAATGATGAAGATAAAGTTTTGATGATACCCAAATCAAGTCAAGAGATATCAAGTTTCAAGAAGATCCTTTGAAGACTCGTATTTTTATAGAAAGCTTTTGTAATAATTGTAATTAAGTGTTTAGGACTTAGGTTCTTAGTAGGTTTTGATTCCACATACTTTCACATTTCAAATTTGTTGTTTAGAGTAAAAAACGTACCGTATTAATCGATTAAACCTAGTGATAATCGATTAATCCATATAAGAGCTAAAAACTTTAACTACCTCTGCAATAATCGATTAACACTTGCGTTAATCGATTAAAATGTGGATTAATCGATTAAAGGTGACTGTTGGAGTTTTCTCGTTGTTAAAACTAGCCATTGTACTTATTTTAATTGATTAACAAGAATGTTAATCGATTAAAAGCGTTAAAATGATTGAAAACAAAAAACGGAAGATTTTTTGCTTGAGTCTATAAATAGGCTCTCATTTTCCTTCAACAACAACTCTTCCCTTGTGCTTTAGTACTCAGAAATCATTGAGAATTGTGTGATCGTGCTCAACTAAAGAAACTTTTGTCTGTGGAGTTGTTGAAGTGTTATTGTGGTGATAGAGGAATAGCTGGTACATCCTTGGTGCATCTAAGGAAGTGCTTGGAAGAGAAAGTCATCCTTCGTGAAGTATTAGAAGGAGGTGTTTCATCCTTTGTGAAGACTCAAAGGAGGTGCAGATTCATGTCTTGTGGTATTAAGAGAGGTGGTTTCTAAACTCTTACAAATTGTTTCTTTATGATTGTAATTTGTAATTGCTTTGTGAGTAGTGAACTATTTATCTTGATTTGAGATAAGCGACTGGATGTAGGATTGGTAAGATCCGAACCAGGATAAAATTATATGTGCAAATTTCTCTCAACCTTACTCTTTTATTTATCGTTAATATTTGCTTGGTAAGTTAAATTGAGTAGAAATTTTAAAAGGCACACATTGTTATTAAAAACCAATTCACTCCACTCTTGGTTTGTTATTCCACACTAATCATTCCGTTGTAGCCGCTTTGACACAATTGGGGAATCATTTTGTTAAGAATTTGAGGTTGATTCGAGTTCAAACATTTCTAGATTATCAACATCACTAGATGTTATTTCGTTTGATGGAGACTCTGTATTATCATTGTCGTTGGTTGCTTCATTTTGCCAGTCAAGAGTTGAGCTTTCCTCTATATTTTCATTCCAATTCCAACTTTTGTCCTCTTTGAACACCACATCCTTACTCATAATTACTTTTTTTTGTAATGGGAGCAAACAATTTGTAGGCTTTAGATTCGTCACTTACTCCCAATAGAATGCACGGTTGGCTTTTGTTATCAAGTTTGCTACTTTTTTATTTGAAACATGAATGTGAGCAATGCACCCAAATGTTTGAAAATAATCAACTCAAGGTTTGACGCCGCTCCACATCTCTTTCGGAGTTTGTTGACTAACGCCAGAAGTGGGACTTTTGTTCTGAACATGTATACATCATCGCACTGCTTTAGGCCAGAAAGGTTGAGCACATGTTTGTCATGTAAAACAGTATGAACAACATTCATCATAGTGCGATTTTTGCGTTTTGCAACTCCGTTCTGTTAAGGGGTGTAGGTTGCCGTCAATTTCCTTGTAATGTCTTGTTGAGTACAAAATTATGCAAATTCTTTGGATGTGAATTCACCACATCGGTTTGTTCTGAGATAGGTGATGTAGACTCTTGCTTTCCTCTCAACATAAACTTTCAAACTTTTGAAATTAGCGAAGGTCTCATACTTTTCATGTACAAAATAAATTCAAGCTTTACATAAGTAATCGTCAATAAAGCTTAGAATGTACCGTTTGTTGCTATGTGAAGCTGGTGAAATATGACCGCAGATGTCAGTGCAAATCAACTGAAGCTTTGTTGAAGCTCTCCATGAAATTTGCTTTGGTATAGGATCTCTATGTTGTTTGCCAATAAGATAAGCAGTGAAAATTGTTTGAGGAGGTTTTATTGGTGGTAACCCAATCATCATTTGCTTATTTGCAAGAGTGCTTAATCCGTGAAAATGAAGATGCCCAAAGCATTTATGCCACAAATGCATTTCCTTTTCTGATTTGTCCTCAGCTTGGAGATACCTAAAGTGTTGAGGAGGCATTGAGGCTGACAAATGGAACATTTTATTACCCTTCGTGTTCGTGTTAAGAATCAGACCTCGCTCGAGATGAAAAATTTTACATGTATCATTTTGAATTAAGATAGCTAACCCTTTCCCTTGGAGTTTTCCTAAGAGATTAGTCTTAAGCTCAGGAAGATAATAAACATCTAAATAGTGTGAAAAGTGCCATCAATGTGAACACGAATGCTTTCTTCTGCAGCGATATCCATTGTAGTGTTGTTCTCGAGTTTGACTGTTCTACTAAAGTCCTCTTCCTTTACTTTTGTGAACCAGAGTTTATTTCTGGCCATATGGTTGCTATAGCTTGAGTCCAGAAACCAGTATTCCATATGAGAAGATTGGGTTACCTCCTTATGTGCCACTAGTAGGAGTTCTTCTTCAGGTTTTGTCGCTTTTTCACATGTTGCATAGTGGGCTTTCTTTGCCATCTCAGGACACTCGTATTGAAAGTGACCTAGGTTGTGACATTGAAAGCATTCAATGAGCGCTTGTTTAACGATTATCTCTCACGACCTCTCCCACGATACATCCACTTTTGCCTTGTCTAAGATAGTTTCCAAAATCTCTCAATCAATGGCCTGGAACAGGTAGTTCTTCACCTTTAGGTCTTTTATAGTTGCCTCAGTCACACTTTTTTGTTAAGCCTCAATAGGTGTGGCTTCAAACACAGGTACGCCATCTTCTACGACCAGCCACAATTCCTTACTTCGTAGGAAGTTTTCAATTGTCATGGACCAAAAATCATAATGACCATCAAACCTAAGTATGTCCGGGTACCCAAATTTCTCTAAGGTAGACATCCTTTACACTTTCATACATGGATGTTTACGATGCTCACACTTTTAATTTCTCACGCTTTGTATCAGGCTCCTTGTAGAGCTTTGATACCAAATATTGAAACTCAGGATATATACAACTCAAAAAGAAATAACAGAGAGTTTGTTTTTATTTGATAATGAAAGATAGCTTATATAAGCGTTACAATGAAATTGAATAACTTAAAGTACGCATACTTTACAATAGAAAAATAAAAGCAGTAACCAACACTCCTAAAAACTAGATATCAAAGACTGGTTCACCCAATAAAATAGGGAACTTTTACTAACACGTAATTAAACAACAAAATTAAACTTAATATTAACACATCGGTCTCTCGAGTTTTTTTTGTCTCAATTGGATCCCTATTTTTGAAAAATTGAAGCAATTAGGTCCTTATTATTAGTACAATACTAACACCGTTAAAGGGAGTGCCAATTTGTTTGTGATTTTTTTGATATTTTTAAATATATTTTTTATTTTTATATTTCTTTAAATAAAAATTGTTACGTTTCAAAATGATATTATGTCACGTGACAATAATAATGTAACATAGCAATGATAGTACCACATATAATTGTCACGTCACGTTTCATTACATCAATCTCCTATATAATCATTATTTGTGAATCCCAACAACTCACAATCTCCTGCTTTCTTTTAATAAATTCCATAGTTGATGGTTCTTGTTAGATATCAAAGAACCCTTTTAGATACCTATTAATGAATACTTATAAGAAAAGTAATATACATCATATGGTAGTAATGTACATCAAACTGACAATTAGTTGTTTATAGTATGTTTCATCCACACAAGGTTTAGCTCATTCTACAACTTGAAACTATTGGGTTGGCTACTGAATTGTTGCATATATAAATACCACTAGATCTGACTTTAATCCTATGAAAAAACCTCATCTTTTCCAAGTTAAACATATCAAACTCCCTTAACATAGAATTTTTAAATTCAGTCATCATAATATAAATTAAATCATCAACATAAACACACGATAACATTTTCTTCTTTGTTTATCTAAATCCTTCACCAATAAAATGTGCTTCAATTAGATTCAACCATGCTTCTGGAGTTTGTTTTAATCTGTATAAAGCTTTATGCAACTTATAAAGAAGATATCTTCACTTACCCTTATGCCCTTATTTCATATCCTCTTGCTTGGTCCATATAAACATCTATAATCAACTCACCATGAAAAAAAAGGGCTGATTTAACATCCAGCTAAAAAAGCTGCTAACTCTTATGTGTAGCTAATGATCATTCTTATTGTATCTTTATTGTCATTGGCGCATAAACTTTTCTAAAGTCTACTCCATAGTTATGAAAATATCTTTTAATAACCAATCAGACCTTGTGTTTATCAAATTTTCCAATCTCATGGTATTTGGTTTTGTATTTCACTCCATCAAATAGTCCACATTTGATTTTTTTTTTTCAAAATAGATTTGATCTCTTCATCTATGGTCAATCTCCAATTTTCACTCTTTATAGCTTCCTCATTAATAGATCAGTTGAGACATTAAAACCATATACCTCTCATCTTCATATAGGTATATATCTATATTAGTATGTATTATAAATGTTTTATAAGTGAAAAAACTCAAATATAATGCACTGAACATAAGTCAATTATGTGACTATGGTTATATGGTTTCCTTTGACAAATACCATGAACATGTGTTTTATATGTGGAGTCTCATAATTGGATAGACAAACCTTGTTTATCGCCAGATAAATGAACATGGATTATCTTTCTTGTATACAAGATTGAGTCTTTCCATGTGTTTGTGATATTCTACAAAAAAAGTACAGATTAAAAAAGATTATTGTATCTCTGGAATTAAAAGTGTCCATGGTAAAGAGTTTGAAAATTAAAAGTTTCAAACATTTTGGGAATCAAATGATATATTTCATGATTTCTAAATAAAATAGGGTGATGGAAAGGAACAGAAAAAACCTTAAAAAAATGATTAAAATCATGTTTTATGATGAGGCAGTCAAAATTGTTTGTCATGAAAAAAAAAAAACTCATATTCCATACTTTAAAAATTCCCTAAATTATGAAGTCCATATAATTATGAAAAACAAAAAAACCCAACATTTTTTTTAATTACTTTATCTTAACATTAATGATCAAATTAAAAATTTTAACTCCAAAATACAGAAAAATACATTTATAATTAATTAGTGAAAAAAATTAAAGGCATATATAGAATGTAGAACTCTGGTAGCTAGATCCCACTTTAAGATCTAATTAGGTTAATTATAGAATAAAACATTATGAAGGAAAGAAAAGTTAATTTTAATTTGTAATTTAATGTCCAAAATATTGTTTTAACCATAAACTGAAAAACTGACAGCAAAATTAAAGCTGACAGACATGGTTTCAGTTGAATAGGGAGAACAAAAAAAGCGGGCTCTGCCATTGTTATTTATTTAATTTTCACGAAACGTTTCGTTTCAATCTCCCGCCACCCAAAATTTTTGTCGGAATTGTTTTCTCCCACCTTTCCCTTTTGACCTAACCGCTCTGTTTCCCCTCCCATTCGCAAATTCAAAACCCAAATCTCACTCTTTATGTCTCTCTCAACCATTTCCAATTCTTAATCTTCACTCTCTTCTTTCCCAATGTCTCAATCTAACAACCCCAAAATGCATTCCTCCGCCACTTCCCTCCGCCACCTTCCGCCGCTCAAGAGATTCCGACTCATTCAACAACAACAAACACACCAAAATCACTTTTCTGACTCTTCCCCTTTACCCGCCAAAAAACGCAGAGAATCGAGAACCCCTTCTCCTCCTTCCCCCCTTCACAACTTCTCCCTCCCCGCCAAAAAACGAGTGTGGGCCCCACGCCCCCAAACTCCTCCTTCCTCAAACGACATCGTTTCCCCTCCCCAGCCCTCCTCTGACGACGCCGCACCCCCCTTTGATCTCAACATCGAATACAACCCCAACCTCGGAGAATCCGAAAACAACGCGGCCGACGATGACGACGGGGTTTTGTGCTGTGTGTGCCAGAGCACGGACGGGGATCCTGCCGACCCAATCGTGTTCTGCGACGGGTGCGACCTCACGGTGCACGCCTCCTGCTACGGCCACCCTTTGTCGAAGGGAGTCCCCGACGGCGACTGGTTCTGCGAACGGTGTCGTGTCGGGGAAGGCAAGAGCGGCACGCGCTGCGCGCTGTGTCCCGCGAGTGAGGGCGCGATGAAGCGCACCGCGGACGGCGCGTGGGCGCACGTGGTGTGCGCGCTGTTCGTGCCGGAGGTGTTTTTCCAGGACCCAGAAGGGAGGGAGGGGATCGACTGCTCCATGGTTCCGAGGAAGAGGTGGTCGCAAAGGTGCTACCTTTGCGAGTGTTGTGACGGTTGCGGTCTGGTGTGCTCCGAGCCAAAGTGTGGGTTGGCGTTTCATGTGACATGCGCGCTGAAGGAGGAGCTTTGGATTGAGTACAAGGAAGGGAAGAAAGGGGGCACCATTGTTGCTGGCTTCTGCAAAACCCACACCCAGATTTGGGAAAAGGTAAATTTCTGCTTTTTATTCATTCTTCTTATTCTTTCACCACATCAATTATTTTATTTTATTTTATGTTTTGAGAGTTTAGTTTATTTCTATCACTCATAGTTTTTTTGTTTAGTTTTGTTACATTGGTATTTTATATTCATATGGTTTAACTGAAGTCCTTTTCTGACGCAGCAACAGCAATCTGGGAAGTACAAGATTGTCCCTCTTGAAGATGAAAAGTAGGAAAATTTTCTGAAGTTATGTTGGTCGGTTAACGAATCTTAGGAAATTCAAAGTTAGTTATTTTGGAGATCATTTTGAATATGTTGTAATTTTAGTTTGAATAGGTTATAGCATGTTTCTTTTTGTAAGTGTTCTAAGTTTTTAGATGAAGATTGTGGACCACAGTTATGATGTGTTAACAATAATGGTTGAATTACTACATTTTATCATTTACATAAAATACCAGCAAACTTTAACTTATTTACTTTATTTACAAATAATCTATTACCATAAACGACTTACTTTTATATATATAACATGAGTGTAATTTTATCATCTATTACGACTTAACATATAACATTTTATTATCATTTATGGTAAAAGATGAAATAAATCAATAAAATTTTGATAATTTTGATTTTAATTCATGTTATCTGATGGGATTAAGCATGAAATAAATAATAAGTGTTAAAATTGTCTATTTAAATTTGGTGAATGTTCCAAGGCTTCCACAATCTAAAATAGTTTGTTGATAATAAAAATGATATACTATTCAATACATAATACATCAACAATTTTTTCCTAAGAAATGGAAACTCAAAAATGATATAAAGAATAATATTAAAGAAGCTACTGTTAATAGTTTAAGATGGAAGTTCTATTTTAAATAAAAACGTGTAAGCGAAGATGTATTAGTTAAAATATTTATAAATTTATTATTTAGTATTTATAAAATATTTAAAATATGTATTAGTTAAAAAATCAAAGAGGAAACTATAAATAGGAAATGAGAAAGAGGAAAAGGCATAGCAGAAATACCATAGTCACCAAAGTTTTCCATTTTTGAATCCACAACACACAAAAATGGAAATGGGAGAGGTGTCTCGTCGGTGAAGATTCAATTGAAGAAATAAATCATCCAAACGAATGAGGGCAATGTCATCACAGTAATGATAGTGAAAGAAATGGAAAAGGTGTCGTCAATGAAAATCGAATCACAGATCACCGCACCGAGAGAAAGGAAGAGAATGGAGAGATGGAAAAGGAGAAGCTTTCGAAAAATTGAAAAGAGATAATTTTGAAAAGAAAAAGCAAAATTCATTTTAAATTTATGTGTATTTCCACGTCACTTTTCTTCATTTTAAAAATTAATTGAAATGGACTAACACCTCTTTAACACGTGTCCGTGTCATTCTAAAAAAAATATTAAAAAGAAGTTGTTAATATATTACGGTACGATAAGAGTGAATTGAATTGGGTCTTTTACTCACATCAGATTATGATCATATGACATATAGACTGACAAAATTTCGATTTGGTGGTGTAAACGAATTCCACAAATATATTGAAATAAAAAGTTTATGATTGAAATACTTAAGGTACAAGCAATGTTTCGGATAAATCATGTTTGACTTTTACTCGTCACCACGTACGGCAACACCTCCAACAACCCTATAAATACCTTCCTCTTCCGACATCAAAAACCACACACACCATTACAGAACACGCAAACCTTAACCCACATACGGTGTTCCGAGAACAGAGTAGAACCATGTCGGTGAAGTTGTTCGCTTCGGTTTCTCTTGCAGTGTGGCTGTTGACGGCCACATCAACACTGTCCCAATCCAACATCTACGTGCTGGACACAAACGGCGACCCTCTGGAAACCGACGAGGAATACTTCATCAGACCAGCCATAACAGACAACGGTGGCCGTTTCACCTTGATCAACAGGAACCAATCGTGCCCTTTGTACGTTGGCCTCGAAAACACGGACTTACCAGAGGGATACCCTGTGAGATTCACCCCTTTTGCCAACGACGAGGACGATGATGACGTGAAGGTGAATAGGGACCTGAAAGTGGAGTTCGTGGAAGTTTCTTCGACGTGTGTGCAATCGACTGAATGGAGGCTGGGCGAGAATGACACGAGCAGTGGAAGAAGGGTTATCGTGACTGGTCGTGATGATGGAAGGTCAAGTGTCGGAAACTATTTCAGAATCGAGGAAACACAGAATGCGAGCATCTATAACATTGGGTGGTGCCCTACTGAAGTGTGCCCCATTTGCAGGTTCTTTTGTGGAACTGGTGGAATTCTTCGTGAGAATGGCCAGATTCTGTTTGCCTTGGATGGTTCTGCTCTCCCAGTCGTCTTCCAGAAAAAGGATGATTGATTTGAAACTTCAAGAATAAACAACTTCTCTTTGTTCATATCTCATAGCATACCATCCATTTTTATGTATATTTGGATGAAATAAAGATACATTTCTTTAGTATTCTCATCTTCTTCATCTGTAAAATAAAACTCTAAACTGTTATGTTAAGAGTATGTAATTCATTCATCATTTCTGTTCTTATATATTACTATTATTGTTCTCATTATAATCTTTTAGTTTTCTCATATGGACACACAAGTTTTTCACATTTATTTTTTTAATTTTTTTAAATTATAAAAATTTATTTTTTATAATTATTTTATCTTTATATTATTTGTGTCATTTTATATTATTTTTTAGAAAACATCATATTACTGTATTAAAGACATTAGCTTTTTCAAATGATCATTTAAGATGAATATTATAGTTACCATTAGTTATCTTTCCACTCTCATTATAAGTTTAAATAATTTGTTGTAAGTTCATAAATTTGTTTTGTATTATTTTATTCTTATAAATATGTGAATTTAGTAATTCGATTGATTTTTTTTTCTTGTGTTAATTCAATAATATAAGTAATTATGTGAGATATGTTATTATGTTTAATATATATGAGTAGTTGATAACATATAAACGCGGCTAATTAAATAAAATAAACTTTAGACATTGAATGAATTAGATATTGCGATGAAAAAATACTAAAATTTATTGGACATACGAATTTTAATAGAAAAATATAAAATTTATTTTAGCCCTTTATTATATTAGATACTTTTCTTTTCTTTCCACCCACCCATATGTTATGGAGTTCGATAATAGTTGTTCTTTGCAAAATTGTTATTATACTTTTAAAATCAATTATTGTTAAAATGATGTTAATACCTTTTGTAAAATCTTATTTTTTTCACATTGTCTTGTAATAATAAGATTATAATTAAGGTGTATTTATCTTCTTATATTTTTTTTTCTTTGGTGCAGAGGAAGTTTTTATTTATAAAAATATATTATAATTTACGTAATGCAGTTGGTAGATCCTACACGTTTTCAGATTTAATTTAGATAATGGATGTAGAAATTCGTACAAGTTTATCTGTTGAAATTCTGGGGTTTTGAATATTGTAAGTCCCATGACGTTATGTTTTGAATATTTTAGTTTGAAGTTTTATTTTGAGGTGGCGTATTTAGAAAGGAAGAAGAAAAGTAAGATGTAGTTAGAAAGTTATAGGGATTAGCTCATAAAGGAACTACTAGCAGATACCAATAGCAGTGCCCAAATTCAATACATTTTTCAATGAAATAAATTATACGATACGACTGTTAGCAACGCTGAAAATATTATAAAATATAATTTTTTAAATAATATACACTAATGCAAGAATTAAATAATTAAATTAAAGTGAGCTTGGACTTCCGATTTAGTGAAACTATTACATTGAAATGAGCTATTCTCCTATGAATGATATATCATCAAGTTGATATAACTTTTTATTAATCATCATAGTCTATTATGTAAGAATGATATATCATCAAGTTGATATAACTTTGTAAGAATGATCTATTTTGTAATGTACTGTATTTTAAGATGAATAAAGGGATTGTGCGTTGCCCACTCTAACTATTGAGAAAGAAACATTTATTGCGACATGGAATGCACTAAAAGCATCTATCACTATCAAACTCTTTAGACAAAAAATACATTTCAAAGAGTTGAAGTTGCTCAATGGCTAGAAATAATTCTATAACAACTAATTTTTTCAAAAATCCATAAAGTTATTAAAGAAGAAGAATAAAGAAAACATATTGCATATTGTCAAAATACTACTAAATTTTCAAGGCCAATAAAAGAAACCATCAATCTTACATACTTAACAAATGACTAATGACTAGTGATTTGTTAGCTTGGAAATTATCCAATTTCTTCGTCATAGTCAAGAGTGGCTATTTGAAAAAGAATACCCAATCATATTTGTAAAACCTGAGAAAATGTAAAGCTTATGAATAATACTGTAATAAGACTTGAGTATGTTTTATTAGATTTTGTGTGAGTTCATAAGGTATTGTGTAGCTCACTTGGTGAGAGCTTTTTGATGGGCTAAGTGACCATGTGTTCAAGGCTTCATTAGAAAATAAAGTTTTATGTTATTTATTTATTTTGTTGATATAAGTGCAAACCTTTGCTTTATTGTATTTATAATTTTGCTTGGGGGCAAAAATGTATTTTTCTCCTTTGTGTTTTAAGGTACAAAAATTAGAAATGGGGTGTAGGAAGTAAAGGCTTGCACTTGAAATAAATAAGCTGAAATTTTTTTTTTGGAATAGCAGTTATGTTTTAAAAACTGGTTGAGATATTAAAAAACATTATCTAGGCAATTACTTTTAGGTTATAATAGATTTTAATTCAAAAAAGATAGACACGTAAAAATTGAGAGAAAGAGAAAAAGAGCATCGTAAGGCAAAGAATCTGACATTTTAAAGAGGAGAAAGGAGTTCCTAGATAAAATAAGAGAAGCGTGAGAGTATGTGATTGATTCATCTTGCAATCAGTCACTATATGGGAAGTTAACCTTACTTTATTACATATGTACATAGTTGTTAATTTAATTCTACATGCTTTAAACCACGGATGAAACCACAGATGAATGTCTGTGTTGATTGGATGGCTCTTGAAATTTTCTTTTTGGGTAGGCTTGAGAACCATGAAAAATGATAATTTTTAGACCAATAAACATTGGTTTATTATTCTTTTGGTATACACATGGAAATCTTTTAATGAAGGTTCTGCCTTGATTTCAATAAGAGTGAGAGAGCTCTAAAAGTATTTGAAATTGAGACTAGTAAGATTATTAAGGTTCCTTTCATCAATATTAGGGAAATATTAAAGGTTAAGGTTTCCATTTAATTAATTAAAATCATATTACGAATTAAAGTTTCTTCTAATTATAATTAAGAATTGATTAGAGTTAGGGTTCTATTATTAAAAGTCAATTTGATAATAAACTAGGGTTCTTTCACCTAAGGTATTAGGGCTAG